ACAGTGACAGGGGGAGGGGGATGCATTGAATGAGATATTGAAGGAGTGATCAGAAAAGTAGGAGGGAAACCATGAGAAGATGATGCCAGTGCAGAGCTGGATTTCAAGGAGAAAGTGGTGTCAGTTACCAAGAGGAGGAGGATGGAGTAGTAGCCCTGAGATCTGACCAGGATGAAGTCACTAATGGTATGTCTACACAGCAGTGCAAGGCTATGGTTTGCAGGGGTTCTCAAACTTCATTGCATCTGATGAAGGAGCCGCAAGTGCGCCCTTCTGACAACAAAAATTACTACATGACCCCAGGAGGGGGGACTGAAGCCTGAGCTGCCCAAGCCCCGCTGCCCCAGGTTGCGGGGGCCAAAGCTCAAGGGCTTTGGCTTTGGCCCCAGGTGTTGGGGCTTTGGCTTGGGCCCTGGGCCCCAGCAAGTCTAACACCAGCCTTGGTGACCCTGTTAAAACAGGGTTGCAGCCCACTTTGGAGTCCCGATGCTTAATTTAAGAACCACAGTCAGCTGAACTGTGTCGGGAACCCTGGGCTTGAGCGTCTACATTGCATTTTAACCCTAGGTTAAGGATTTTCCGACGTGTGCTCAAACCTAGGGCTCTGGAATCCACGCTGCAGTGTACCGACCTGAGTCAAAGTAACCCTAACCCAGAATGCCAAGGACCCTCCCCACCCCCGCTTCATCATCCGAACCCGATGCATGTGGTGCACAGTGGGGAAACATTAGTGCCCACCCTTTTTCCTAACTGTGACAGTGCTGTTGATGGGACTCGGGTCCATAAGGAGCACCTGAGTACATAAACTGCATAGTTATTCCTTTGGCTGTCAGTAGAAAGCTTTATACTGAACTCTACCATCTAATCTGAGAATTGGGCTCTCCCCCTCTATGCAGAGTCACATTGACAGGAAAATGCCCATTTGTACCGTTCTGAGGATAATTAGGACATCAGTTTCCGGGGCTGCCAAACTATTAAAATGAAACTTTGCAACTTTTAATTTTTAAAATGAGCTGTTCAATAAAGGTGTTTTTGGCTAGTTGGATATGAAGGGTATTCCCAGGACTTCGCGTGAAGTGTTTTCCAGAACCCTCCAGGGATCCCTTATCCCTACCCTGGCTGTACCCCAGGAGGCAGGGATAAGGGATCCCTGGGAGCTGTGGGGAAGTTTTGGGACTGCCTCCCACTCACCACCTTGACACTGATTAGGCATCTCTGAACACGCAGCCCCAGGGAGGGCAGGGGACCCCGGGAACAAGGGACAGAGAGCAGAGCGGGACCAAGTGTCTGACCTGCAGGGAGCAGGAGAAGTTGAGGTGTTGGAGGTCATCCCTTCTATCACCATGCTGAGCCGGGAGCTCTGCTGCTTTCCCCTGCCCCCCACAGGGTAGCTGCTTAGTCCCCATTCTGCTCTCTGGCCCGCCCTGGGGCTGCATGTGCAAGGTTGCCCCGGCAGCGCGCACCAAAATCTGGCTGTGCTCTTGTCACCAGGAAGCAGCTCTCTTTGCAAAAAGCTTGTTTTGATCAGTCTCCATTGAAAACTCTTCAAGACCTCTGGTAGTGTGTGTGCAGACTGGTGGTGTTCAGTAGACAATGGGTTAATACTGATCTGAATGCTGGGTGCAGGCTGTTTGCAAAGGGAGGTGTGGCTTCGATTTGCAATAGAGTGCAATAGACAGCACTGCAGATTGTCGGCTTAGAGAGGACTAAGGAAGTTCCCCCAAGGAACTCTGAGATAATTCTGGAACACTTCTGGGGCTGTGTGCATACAGGAAAGCAATAAGGCTCAGACCCTAGATCCCAGCTTAACACTGGCTTGGACTCTCCAGTCCTGGAGGGTCCTGGGACCTTAAGTTTGAGCCCTAGGTTAACACAATTGGTGTGTGGACGCAAGGGGGGTTAGGCTTGAGCTTAGGCTAAAACCTGGGCTTACGTTGCTGTGTGGACATACTCTAGATATGTTGGTGAGAGCAATTTCAAAGAGCTCTTCTTCAGGTATGTGTAAGGTAGCAGAGGGTATATCTACACTGCAGTGTAAGCCCAGAGTTAGTGGAAATTGAGTTAGCTGACCTGTGTTGCGGAACCCTGGACATGAGCATCTACGTTTTGTTTTTTAACCCTACATGAAGATTGTTTTCTAACCTATGCTGGAACCTATGGCTCTGGAGTCCACACTACAGTGTGCAGACCCAAGTCAAAGTAACCATATCTGAGTCCCTAGCAGCACCATTCTCTTCCCCAAATGTGGCTGCTCTAGTCCTAGGACTGTGGGGAAAACTTTACTGCCTGCCCTGCAAGTTACAGGTAGTTTGAAGCAGCTTGCTTTGCAAAAAGCTTGATCAGTTTGCTCTCCATTGCAAACCCAGGAGGTTTTCATGATAGTGTGCTTGCAGATCGGTGATCAGAAGAAAATGGGTTCATGCTGACCTGAGCTGCTGCCCTTTGCAAAGGGTCGGTGGCTTCCTTTTTCCGTAGAGTGGATTGCAGGTTGTTGGGATGGAGAGCGCTAAGGAAGTTGTTCCATGGAATTGTCATGAATTTAAGTTCCCAGGCTCATCTTTTGAAAGTGTTGTGCAGGTTTCGTTTGGAGACAAGTACTGAAAGATCAGATACGGAGTAATCTCTTTGTGAAAAGTGTTTGCCCAGGGTGATATGGTGTTTTTGTCTCATCTTTTTTCTGCGTAAGTTCATTCTAGAGTGTAGTGATTGTCTGATTTCACCCACACTTCAAACCGTTCATGCATAACAATCTAACCCCCCAGTTATCCACTTCATTTCAAGTGACCTGGCCTCCTGCTTAACAATCTGTCCCAACCTGTGTTTAGCTCAGTTACTCTTCTTCCTTCCCCAGGCTTGTATCTTCCCCCAACAGAAGTTGGTCCAATAAAAGATACTGCCTCACCCACCCCTGTCTCTAATATCCTGTGACTAACACGGCTACAATAACACTGCATGCACTTTTAATTGTTAACACTGAAGCAGGTTTGTTCTGAAGTTTCAAAGATTTTATGCAGCTATGAGAAGTTTTTAATAAAAATACAATTTGTCTCTGATGCCGCTAACACATGTGCACGTCTAACTTCAAGCACATGAGTAGCCCCACTGAAGTCAGTGGAACTGTTCATGTAAATCAAGTTAGGTACCCTTGTAAGTGTTTTCAGGATCAGGGCCTTCGTTTTCAATACTTTGCCCATAGCAATCTTGTAAAGCTCAGAGAAGAGCCCCTACCAGGAGACAGGTTTTAACTGAGTTAATTATGTTTTAAATTGCAATAGCACACATTTTAAAGACTTCAGTAAAGTCTCCATCTGATTGACATAAATGATCTTTTAAAAATAAATTAAACCATTTTATATTGCCTTGATTTAAATCTTTCCACCCTGCTTGAAAGGCAGCTGAAGCTTCTTTGAATGCTAGCACAGTGTAGCCAGCAGAGGGAGCTCCATAGCAGGATACAGTGCCTTTCCCCCTACACACAAGGCCTTCTCTCCATAGCTCGCTTTTTTTTTTTTTTTTTTTCTCAGTAACGTTATTGCCCTCACTATCTGCTCTGAGAGTGAATTTGGTTTACTGGAGCGTCCCTACCGCCATATCCCTTTGATTTACATCAGGTGAAGGTCTGGATCCTGAGTGCCTGTCTCACTGCAGGAGCCGGGGTTGTAGGACAGCAAGGAGTGAGAGGGTCTCGCAAACGTTGAACTCCAAGATGTTAGTCCGGCAGGGGCAGAAAGAAGTTCTCTTAATCTGGGCATCAGAAGAGCTGGGAAGGGGGAAAACAGGTCAAGCCTCATTTTCTCATCCCATCTTGTCCTCTGTACTTACCCTGCTTGAAGACTGGCATGGGGGAAGCTGCCTACAGCTCCTGCAAGGCTCTCCTCCTTGCAGTGCCTCTTCACCCTGTCTGTTTACAGCTTGTTCTCAAATTTCCTCCTGCTTGGCCCATTTCTAGTTTGTAACTAGCGTCTGTTCTTGTTGGTAAATCTCCAGTCAGAGATAATCGGATGGAAAGGCTAATCAGGGCACTAACCCTTACTGCCGTCTGAGTGATGCTCAGGGCCTGCAGCACCAATTTGCTCTCTGCTGTCTTACAGGTGGATCACACAATTATTATGTACCTCATTGGGCCAGATGGAGGCTTTGTGGACTACTATGGCCAGAACAAGAAGAATTCTGAGATTGCCACTTCTATCGCTGCACACATGAGACAGTATAAGCCCAGCTAAAATACAAGATCTGCAAAGAATGGTGCAAAGTCAAACTGTAAGGCAGGCTCCAATGGGACTGGCGTGTCTTTGCTTTCAACTGCACTGAACTTATAAGACTGTCCTTATGTCACATATTTCCTCTCCAGATAAGAAAGGTACATTGTGTTTATTTCTGTGAAATGTAGCTGCTTATCAGAAATTTGTACATAACCTTTCCCATTGGGTGTATTTGGCAGTGATGACCATGCTGCAGAATAAGAAACTCGTTTGGGATTCTTATGGAACTGGGGAGCAAAGAATTTAAAATTTTTACAAAACTATTTTTGTTGGTGAAGGTATCTCTGCATTAGTTATGCACTCACTTTTGGCAAGAGACAAGTGAGAACTGCCCTCTGCAGGGAAGGCTGTTCTCTGATGTAAGTTGCTGACATTTTGGCATCCCAAAGGGCTGTTCCCCCTTCTCTTTTCTGCAGTGCCTTTTGCTCTTGCACAGACACTTGTAATGTTCTGTCTACAGTAATGAGCCTTAATAGCAGTCCTACCCTGTGGTTTACTGGAGAGCACTGAAGGCACATCCTCTTCCGCTTGTGGGACCAGCCCTGTACAATAACTGAGTATTTTTGGGCTCGAGCCCAGGGATGCAGCATCATTTCCAGGCAAGATTTCCAATGTCCTAATGTAGAATGGTGTTACTCTTACTAGTAATGAAATAGGTTATGAGTTGGGGATGGATTTTCTTCTGGTGTAACCAGCTGCCTGTAGCTTTTTAGTCTGACAGTTGTGAAGCACTGAATAATGGAGTGGAGGAGTGATCAGCGATTGGTGTATGTGCCCAAGGCTGTTGATCAGGTAAAATGTGTGCAATGCTCTGATTGTAAAATAAAGGAATGAATCTTATGTTGCATGCAGTTAATTTTCGTGGATGTCACGGCAGCGATCAAATCTGAATACCACCTTCAAAGGGAGCAGAGTGAGTGTCGCGTATATCCAGTGCCGCACACTGAGAGCAGAGAATGCAGCGATTACTCACCGTGCGTTGACGGTTGCTTTGAATAGGCTAAAATCCATATTTAAATGGGCATATGAACAATTCTGGTCAGAAGTGCATAGTGCAGTCTTATGGATAGTAGAGTGGCAGTGTGTTCCTTGTCACTCTGGCACATCCACAGCAGAGAGGCTTCTCTCTTAGCTTAGCAGTCTAAAGCTGTCTTGTACAGTTACTATGATTTAAAGAGCCTGAGAACTATTTGTCAAGCCTGATCAAGATTTGTGTATGATCCAGCCAACTGCTCTGAGGAGAGCTTCAATCCTTAGCAAAATAACACAAACTAAAACTTTATCAATGACCATTAAAGATTCCTCAGGCCTTAAATCAGAAGTTAAGGGAAAAGTCTCCGGTATTCCTTGCTACTTTGATATCCCCTACAATGCTGTCAGTAACACTCTTCAGCACTCCACAGACCTTAGTGGTGGCCGTATATGCTCCTGTATCGATAGCACATCTGTCTCACACACCCTGCATTTAAGGAGTTACTCTGCCTTAACATAGCTGAGGTCATAGTTGGGGTTTTGTATTATGTGTGATGGCGATGGTTGGAGGGAGTGTTGTTCACACCACTTCTGTGATAGTGAATTAATCAGTACATGAGAAGCAGCATGTGAAGCAAAGCCCAGACTTTCAGATTTCATACAAAAGGGGTCTGAAAAAAACAAGACAATCTAGTTCAAATGACAGTGGTGAGTTTGAAGCTTATTCTCTCTGTATTCATCTAATTTTCATTAAATTACCATGAAAAAATCCAAGTATTAGTCAAAGTTCACATTTGTTTTGGGTTTTTTGCCCTTTTTAGGAAGGTCATCCAGGAGATATGCTGTCTGCAGTAAACATGAATTTGTGTGGAACAAATCATGCCATTAGCTGTATTGCTTTTTATTATAGAATTAGAAGACCAGTGAATGAAGGGAATGTAGTAGATGTAATAGAAGCATTCTTGGTACGGTACCCCATGATATTTCAAAAGCTGAGTCATATTGCCTTGGCTACAAAGGCTGTCACGTGGTTTAAAAGCTGGCTGAAGGCCTGTATGCAGGAGGTTCTTCCACATGGTAAGGTGTCAGGGAGAGGAATAGGAAGAGGTGTGCTAGTAGCATAGATTTCTGGCAAGTCTAAGTTAACATCTGAAAGAGGAAACACCCCTTTAAAATCACAACTGCTACTAAATGGAAAACTGCAAATATTACTGGGGTTGGAGAAATGCAAACAATGTTTTTAAGCTATAATACAGTAAAAGCTTTGTTATCCGGCATGTTGGAGGAAGTGGGAGAGTGCTGGTAAGTTAAAAATTCTGGTTAACGAGGAGCAGCAGGGACATGTTGCCGCTTGCAGAGAGCTGCCCGAGGTGAGCGCCATCCCAATCTGGCACCCCAAAATGCCAGTTTCTAGAGCTTTCCAGTTGATAAAGTACTGGTTAAGTAAACACAGCTTTTACTCCTAGAGCTAAAGTGAGCCACAGATGTTCAGTGGGAGACAGAAACATAAAAGCCAGCCATGCTGAAGAGACTTAGTGATAGTAGTAAGTATGCTAGATATGAGTTTGGAATGGGATATTGTGGGGCACAAAAAGGGCCAGTGAGGTTTGGGGTTGTGTAGACAGAAGCTTTGCTTCACAGAGCAGGCATGCATAACCTGAGTCTGAGAAGATCCCACTTATGGTCTTCTATAATGTGGGCTTTTCACCTCAATCCTCTGAGTACACAAGTGTTCAGAGAGATGAACGAAATGGCCTTAAACACCAGCAGCACCTGGATGATGCCCAAGTAAACTCAATTTTTCAGTTGCTAGCAGTGCTATCTCCTGGCTCTCCTTGTGCCTATAGCAAATCAGCATCTGACTCAAGGGCTGCAATAGTTGGCAGTAGACCCCACACCACCTACTTCTCAGTCCTGAGCAGCAAATCAGACTGGGCCAATTGCCTCTCCATGAAGAAGTTATGGATGGTTTAACCAAGTATTATAGGATGAAATAAAAATTCCTTGAGCGCAAAAATTATGAACCTGTAGAATTCCCAAGTGGTAGAAATCCCAACCCATAGGATGCACAAAACTAGACTGAACAAAATATTACTACATGTAGGAGTACAAAAGTATAGCATGTTCAGGCAAAAATTGAGTTACACCTAGCAAGAGACATAAAAAACAATGAGGTTCTTTAAATGTATTAGGAGCACGAGGAAGGTGAAGGAAAGTGGAGGTCCTCTACTTAGCTAATAATTGATGACATTGAGAGGGCTGAGGTGTTTAATGCCTATATTTCTTCAGCCTTCATGAAAAAGGTTAACGGTGACCAGATACTCAACACAATATTAACAACAAGGGGAAGGAATACAAACCAAAATAGGCAAAGAACAGGTTAAAGAATATTTGATAAGTTAGATATATTCAAGTTGGCAGGGCCTGATTAAATTTTTCTTGGGATACTTAGGGAACTAACTGAAACAATCTTGGAACCATTAGCAATTATCTTTAGACCTCCTGGAGGCTGGTTGAGGTTCCAGAGGATTGGAGAAGGGCAAACACAGTACCTGTCTTTAAAAAGGGGAACAAAGAGGAGCTGGGGAATTACAGATCAGCCAGCCTAACTTCAATACCTGGAAAGATACTGCAAGAAATTATTAATTTGTAATTATTTAGATGATAGGATTATGAGGAATAGCCAATAAGGATTTGTCAAGAACAAATCATGCCAAATCAATCTGGTTTTCTTCTTTGCAGAGTTACTGGCCTAGTGGAAAAGGGAGAAGCAGTAGATATGATATATCTTGATTATAGTAACATATGACACAGTTCCACATGACATTCTCATAAACTAGGGAAGTGTGGTCTAGGTGAAACTACTGTAAGGTAGTTTCCCCATGTTCATTCCCCCCTTCCCCGCTGTTCCTCAGATGTTCTTGTCAACTGCTGGAAATGGCCCACCTTGATTATTACTACAAAAGGTTTTTTCCCCCCCGCTCTCTTGCTGGTAATAGCTCATCTTACCCGATCACTCTCATTACAGTGTGTATGGTAACTCCCATTGTTTCATGTTCTCTATGTATATAAATCTTCCCACTATATTTTCCACTGAATGCATCCGATGAAGTGAGCTGTAGCTCACGAAAGCTTATGCTCAAATAAATGTTAGTCTCTAAGGTGCCACAAGTACTCCTTTTCTTTTTGCGGATACAGACTAACACGGCTGCTACTCTGAATACTGTAAGGTGGGTGCGCAACTGGTTGAAAGGCTGTACACAAAGAGTAGCTAGCAATGGTTTCTATCAAAGTGGGAGGGTGTATCTAGTGAGGTCTAGCGAGTCAGTCTTGGGTCCAGTGCTAGCCAATATTTTCATTAATAACTTGGATAATAGAGGGGAGAGTGTGCTTATAAAATATGTGGATGACAGCAAGGGGTTGCAGGCACTTTAGAATGAAAAATGACCTTGACAAACTGGAGAATTGGTTTAGAATCAACAAGATTAAATTCAATAAAGACAAGTACAAAGTATTATGCTTAGGAAGGAAAAATCAGATGCACAAATACCACATGGGGAATAAATGACTAGCTGGTAGTACTGCTGAAAAGAATCTGGTGGTGGTAGTGGATCACAAATTGAATATGAGCTACCAATGGGATGCAGTTGCAAAAAAAAAAAAAAAAAAAAGCTGCTAATATTCTGGGGAGTATTAAGGGAAGTGTCATATGTAAGACACCGGAGGTAATTGTCTCACTCTTCTTGGCATCGCGAGGCCTCAGCTGGAGTACTGTGTCCAGTTCTGGGCGCCACACTTTGGGAAAGATATGGACCAAATGGTGAGAGTCGAGAGGATAGCAACAAAAATTACTAAAGATTTAGAAAATCTGACCTATGAAGAAAGGTTAAAAAAACCTTTACATGTTTGATGCTGTGAAAAGAAGACTGAAGGGAGACCGGATAGCCTTCAAATATAGTGCTGTTATAACAAGGACAGCGATCAGTTGTTCTCCATGTCCACTGAAGGTAGGACAAGAAGGTAATGGGCTTAATCTTTGGCATGGGATATTTAGGTTAGATATTAGGAAAAACTTTCTAACTATAAGGATAGTTAAGCTCTGGAATAGGCTTCCTAGGGAGGTTGTGGAATTCCTATCATTAGCAGTTTTTAAGAACAGGTTGTATAGACACTTGTTCAGGATGGTCTAGAGGTATACTTGGTCCTGCCTCAGCATAGGGGACTAGACTTGATTTCTTGAGGTCTCTTCCAGCCCTGCATTTCTATGATTTTAGGTATAATCAGGAGCAGTCTTGTATTAGTCTTAGGAAGAGGAGTAGATGGCCAATTGTCTGATTCACGGAGAAGTGCTGCATCTAATATGTATTTTTTTCATCTTTCAAAAAACCTGAACAACTGAATGAAAACTAAGCTTAGAAAATGGACATGCCATTACAAAGCTCTGGGAAATGCCTAAGCTGCACTGTCCCCTCTTTCTTGCAGAGGGTTTGGAGAAGTGAAAAGGTTACTTTGTTTAGAACAAGTTGCATGTCAGAAAGGAGTATTAGTTTGGAATGTGCCTCAACAGATCTTTGTCAAGAGTGTGCATTCTAATGTAAGAAGATTCTTGTGGAACTAAGATATCTTTCCTACCTCTGAAATGCCAGATAGATTAAAGAAGTTTTTAGTTCTCACCAAGAATTTCCTTGGATCAGTTTGCGCTGTGTGTGTTTGTGTCTTGGTAGAATTTAACCTTCATTCTCAGCTGTTGAGGGTTATTCCTTTTGGTGGCAGTCCAGTAGTGGCTGTCATATAACGTTGCAGGAGAAACAATTTCCAAAGGAAGTCTCATGCTTTAAATCATGTATCAATCATAGGATCTGTTTGTAGACATTGACTGTCAAATCCAGACTGGTATTCAAAATTAGAACTGGGCAGGAAACAGTTTTCCTATTTTATGGAAATTTGAGATTTCAAACAATTTTCTATTCTCCTTTGGGATGAACTCAAGACTTCTAAATGTTTTTATTTAAAGAGGTGCGAGGAAGAAAGAACAACTCCAGACTCAGACCTTATTTGTCAGAGCAGGAACTGGAACTTGCTTCTCCCACATCCCAGGTGAGCACCCTGACTCCTGGCTATTCTGCCTCTCAGCCCTGGTCTACGCTACAGGGTTAGGTCGAATTTAGCCGCGTTAGGTTGATTTTATAATGAATGCGTCCACACAAGCAACCCCCTTCCGTCAACCTAAAGGGCTCTTAAAATCGACTTCTGTACTCCTCCCCGGCAAGGGAGGTAGCGCTAAAATCGACCTTGCTGGGTCGAATTTGGGGTAGTGTGGACGCAAATCAATGTTGTTGGCCTCCGGGAGCTATCCTAGAGTGCTCCGATGTGACCGCTCTGGACAGCACTTTCAACTCCGATGCACTAGCCAGTTACACAGGAAAAGCCTCTGGAACTTTTGAATTTCATTTCCTGTTTAGTCAGTGTGGCGAGCTCAGCAGCACAGGTGACCATGCAGTCCCCCCAGAATTGCAAACAAGCTTCAGCATGGAGCGAACAGGAGACACTGGATCTGATTGCTGTGTGGGGAGAAGAATCTGTGCAGGCAGAACTCCTATCAAAAAGAAGAAATGCTAATATATATGTGTCATAAATATAAAGGGAAGGGTAAACCCCTTTGAAATCCCTCCTGGCCAGGGGAAAGCTCCTCTCACCTGTAAAGGGTTAAGAAGCTAAAGGTAACCTCGCTGGCACCTGACCAAAATGACCAATGAGGAGACAAGATACTTTCAAAAGCTGGGAGGAGGGAGAGGAACAAAAGAGTCTCTCTCTGTCTGTGTGCTGCTCTTGCCAGAGACAGAACAGGAATGGAGTCTTAGAACTTTTAGTAAGTAATCTAGCTAGGTATGTGTTAGATTATGATTTCTTTAAATGGCTGAGAAAAGAATTGTGCTGAATAGAATAACTATTTCTGTCTGTGTATCTTTTTTGTAACTTAAGGTTTTGCCTAGAGGGGTTCTCTATGTTTTGAATCTAATTACCCTGTAAGATATCTACCATCCTGATTTTACAGGGGGGATTTCTTTATTTCTATT